GGAAGGAAGGAAGGAAGGAAGGAAGGAAGGAAGGAAGGAAGGAAGGACAAAAGAAAGAAAGAGGAAAAAGAAAGAGGGAACAGACTAAAACCCAATTCCCATAATAACCTTGCCATTCTCTCTCCTTACCAAGCCAATAGTTCTTATAATTGCCAGTATCATACAGATGGGGAGGCAACAGGACTAGTCTGGTTTTCTCAACCCCCAATGAGCTATAGATATCCGGGTTTTCGAAGAGGCCCAGTTCTATCACTTTGAACAAACAGATCAGCACTTCTTGGATGTCATAATAATCGTCTCGGTCGACTTTGCCCAGGTTCCTGGCGGTCAGGATGGCCCACTGGCGGATCTAGGGATTTGAAGGTTGTTGAATGAATGGGTTTTAAGTCAAGCATTACGTGTGCAGCCAAATTTATTTTATTTATGAAGCAGGTGGGTCTGATAAGGTGACTCTGATAAGGTGGCTTGTGGACATTGAAGAAAATGCAGAATAAAACTCATCCGGGGACCCTTCCAACTCTGTTATTGTGTTATTCGGTTAATCAATAACGGCCTTAAATTTAAACATTCAATTAAAATTGTAGCCTACTGCAAGCAAGATCTGATGTTCTTTTCGCTCTTTCTGCAAGTGCAACCAGCAAAAATAATGCTCCCTCTTTAAACGTTCACTGTTAATGCCAGAATCTTGAATTCTAAGCTGTCACTCCCAAGGAAGCCAGGTTTACAAACCACGATTTGATGTTGGCCTATGGATCCAAATTGGTTCAGGGGCAAAACAACACCATCACCAACCACACACACCCACGCCCAAAAAAAACCCTTGCAGATTCAAGTATTTAAATAGGAAGAGGTTTACCGCACTAAGAACTTACTGGGTACCTGGCTCAATGCGTTTGCTGCAGAAATGCAAAGAATTCAGCTCTGGAGACGACAAACGACGACGTCAGGAGAGAGAAAGGAAATAAACCCGAGTGACTCACCGTTTCATTGGGGTGCACCAGGAGTAAATAGATACCGGGATGCTTGCCAACTACTTGGTAGAAGTAGTTCATTTCCTCCATTTTGCAGAGAGCTTCTACGCACAGCTCGCCTGCAAGCGAGAGAGGAAGGGCGAAGTCAGGCAGGCAGGCCACCCAAAGAACAAGATGTTATGCATCTTTTGGAGATCAAAGCCACATTTGGGGGAAGAGAGAAAAAAATGCTATTTCTGCGGCTTAAGGCATTGTTTTTTTAAAAAATTCATCTTCGTCTCTCCAAGGTCAAAGCTCCCAGATCTTCGCTTTTTCAAAAGACAGAAAGCTCCTTTTTTCAGCCCCCCCCACATCCACACACACACACAAAAAAGGTTTTGAAAAGTTTGTGTTTCAATGGACGGGGTTGCTGAAAGGAAGGGAGGCGAGGTATGGAAACAGAGGCCAGAGGGGAACCGGAAATATTATCTGTCATTTCACACCTCCAGTCTGCTTGGCTGAAGAAAGTTGCAGCCATTTTGCAAGCTCTATTTTTACGCCAGGTGTGAACGAACCCAAGGTGAGTTTATCTAAAAAAGGGAGGATCAGAATGCTGAAGGGATGCTATGAAGATATGAGATATTTACACAAAAAGAGAAGAATGCTCTTCGCCTGCGGCCAGACGTCTCTGACGTCTCACCACTGATTCCTTAATGCCAAGCTTACGTGCAGCAGCTCTGTCCCCTTCCTGGATAGACAGATCGATTGCTTTCAACTTAAAAGCTGCATCGGATGCTTTTCTTCGTGTACTTTCCATGTTGAGGGTGTGAAAAATATTTTGCGTTTGTGTGTGGTTGTGCTGCTTGCGTTGAGCGCGCCAAAAACTACCGGCAGCGCCTTCTTTGCATTGACCTCTTGCGTCTGTCACGTTTTTGAGCCCCCTGATGGCAGTTAGTGAAGAAAAATCTAGAGATACGGCGCATTGCTGTACAAGCCGCAGGGTTCAAAGCGTGGGAAAAAAGTAGCGGCTTATAGTCCGGAAAATACGGTAGATATATATATATATATTATAGATAGATATAGATATAAGTAGAAATAGATATATAGATATGAATTAGATATAGATTAGATACAGATATAACGGCAGGAAGCTGGCAAAATGCCCAGGTGGAATCTTTGGTGCTGGATTCAGAAAAAAAAGTCTCCTGAATCCAGCAATTTGGGAAGCTAAGAAGAGAAGCCTTAGACAACTTGATTCCTACGGTCCTTAGATCAGGATCAGGAATTTAGCAACTTTAAGACTTCCTGGCTGAGAGATTCTGGGAGTTGAAGCCCACAAGTTGCCAATTTTGGAGACCCCTGAAACTGTTTTGTCTACAATAAAAAAAAATTTTTTTTGGGGTGGGGAGCTAAGTCACGTTCTCAAAACTTCTGCCAAAGTGCAGAGATGTTTGACAACAGATATCAGCTGTCAAGATAGAAGTTGGACAGGTCTGAAAAGGTAAACAAATAGTGCCTAGGAAATGACAGGTAAAGTGCTTTGGGGTAAAACAATTAAAACATTTGCTATTGCCTGGTCTTGTTTCACAAGGCTGCATTATAGTATGTCTGAGCTTGATTGTTTTCTAGCAGACTAGATAACATAACCAGTGCATCAAAGATCTCACAGTCCTCCTCCTCCTCCACTCCACAAACCGCACTTCCTTCTAGCACAGATGATGTTACCTAGTTGGGTCCTAGTTGGTTGCAAGAGAGCAACCAAGCTCAGAGAGCACCAAGGATTGGGGTGATCTCTGCTCAGCAAGTGGGTCAAGAGCGCCCCCCCCCCCTTCAAAACTCACTGAGGTGTTCATGAAGTAGCAGGTACGGATACTTGAGGACTTCCAGCAAGGGCACCCGGAGGCGCTTCTCAAAATTAGGACCAGTGCAACACAAGGTCCAGGGCTTCACTCTGTCTTCCTCCACCAAGTAGAGGTCGTTTTCATCGTCCACTCGCATGGACTTCTCAAAGTGGTCAACGAGACGGATAACTTCCAAATCCCACAGGATCTGCAGTTGGAAAAGCAAAGGGGAAATTCAGGAGGAGCCTTGTTTTGTTTTGTTGAAGGAAGAAAAAAATAACCATTGGTTTATTATAGATCTGAAGATTTAAGGAAGACATGGATTGGGCAAAGGGACCTGCAAAATAATGAGGAGGTGGGAGGAACAGTATGAGTATCACTTGAAAGGGAGGTCAGAAGTCATTGGTACACTTCCTAACTTCAGTTATTTTCTTTTGGCCTTTTATTATAGGAACATTCTCAATAAATATAACAAAAAATTGAACAGCACTATAGAACAGAGATTCCTAGGTCTGGAAGGGGCCGTGGAGGTCTTGTAGTCCAACCCTCTGCTCACGCAAGAGACCGTATCCTACCCTGGACCAATGGCCTCTTCTTGAAAGCCTCCAATGACGGAGACAAGCCAGAAGGTAATTGTTCTCAATGTCAGGAAATAAACATAAGTATCAACTACGCAGCTGTCTGAACCTTGCCAAGATACAAGATTTAAGTACCCAGATTGAGATCCGTTCTTATTTATAAGAAAAAAACCATGCCAACCTCGCCCAAGCAGACCGGTGCCCTGGATCAGAGTACCTGGTGCAAAGATGGAATCCCATCTCTCGCTCTGTGGTACTCCTCCACGCATTCCAGACAGTAACAGAGGTCATCGTTGGCGGCAGCAAAATCCTCCGAAGACAGGGCAGCAGAGGCGTAATTTGCTAGTAGCTTGGTAGTAGCGGGACCACCTGGTGTACACCAGCAACATGTACTCATTCTACAGGGAGGAGAAAAAGGGGACAAAGGTTCCCGTGGGAGTAGATTCGTAGCTCAGGGCTCAAACCTGTGCGGTCCTGAGCGCTCTCTGAGCTTGGGTGCTTTCTTGCAAATGTTTCATGACCCAACTAGGGACCAACATCAGTGCTAGATGGGATTTGCAGAGAAGAGGACGACTGTGAAGTCCTTGGTGCTCTCAGAGCTTGGGTGCTTTCTTGCCGACGTCTCATTAGATAGCACTGATGTTACCTAGTTGGGTCATGAAATGTCTGCAAGAAAACCACCAAGCTGAGAGATCCCCAATTGGGGGCAAAACTCACTTTAACAGATGTCTCGCTTAGCAGCAAGAAACTTTGCACCCGAATTGCGGCCATAAGTTGACGATTACCTGTAGTTAGCAGATCCAATTCCCGCCTGTGATTGTATGACGGTAACTTTGTTGCTTGTATCAGTACAATTTATACTTGGCTGTTTCCTAGTAGGATTTGATTATTGATTGTACCCTATGATTCTATTTACTTGTTGTACTCGATTCTTGACGAATGTATCTCTTCTTTTATGTCCACTGAGAGCATTTGCACCAAGACAAATTCCTTGTGTGTCCAGTCACACTTGGCCAATAAAAGAATTCTGTTCTGTTCTATTTTTCCTCATTCTGTTCTATTCCTATATTATCCTATATTATCCTATATTCCATTCTACTCTTCCCTATTCTACTCTCTTGTCTATTCTATTCCTTATTCTATTCATTCTATTCTAAATTCTATTCTGTGTGCCTGTGTGTGTAATATAGGTGTAATATACACACAAACATTACACCTACACACTATATATATATATGTGCGTGTGTGTATCCCCTAGATATACAGCATGTATATTGGTGTGTGTATTGGTGTCAGGGACCCACTTGGGAGCCTTTGAACTCCTCCTGAGGGGGGGGAAGACCCTCCACTTCTGGGGGGGGGGGCGGACCCTTCGCCTTTTTCCCCCTGCATTTGAAGCCCCCCCCCCAAAGTCCCTTCCCTGCAAAGTGCCAGGAGGGGGGAGGGGTCAGCCAAGGGAGCCCTGAGCATGAGAGGAGCTCCAGGGGGAGGGGAACCGGAGGGGGTTAAACACAACCTAGGAGGGAGGGGAGGCTCTGCCCGCTTTCCTTGCCCCCCCTCCCCAAATTCTCCGTGAAGACACGTGAACGCAGCGTCGTGGGAAGGGGGTTAAGCCGGGTTTGGGGTGCGCGCGTGTGTGGAATAACCTCTATATTGCGAGGGGGGGGGGCGTTTTAAAGGCCTTCCTCAGCCCCTCTGAGGTAAATTGGGGGGGGCGGAAATGTTCTAAGCTGTGGGGGAGGGGGAAAGCGAGGAAGCCCCGCCCCCTTAAGCCTCTCCGGCAGTCGCCCCCGCCTCACCTCTCCCTCCGGGTCCTCGGGTGGGCAGCGCTGCCATGTGCCCGCCCGCAGGCTCGGCCGTCCTCTTCCTCCTCTTCCTCGTTGCCGCCGCTTCGCTCCCGCCGGCTCGCTTCAGCGCTGCTTCCGGTGCGGCAGGCCCCGCCCCAGCATGGCTTCCGCCGCGGTAAACCCCGCCCTCCCGGAACGCCCGGCGACGCCCGCTTTTTATCGGCGGAGGAGGGCATAGAGCTAGGAACGTTGAGAGAAGGGGAGGTCGGGTAGAAACGCCTACTTCCGGGAATGCTTTTCCCACAATGTCCGTAGATGCATGAAAAGGTTAGACAAGCCCTTTTTCAAAAAATCGAGGCCTACAGGTGACTGGAGCGGCCTTTTCCAAGCCGAGGCCTAGAGCCTAAAGGGGATACGTGCTCCCTATTTGGAGGCCGGGGCTCATGAAATGTGAAAGGGGCTACTTTCCAATATCTTCAAACTGTTTCTATCAGTGAGAGGGCAAAAAAAAAAAAAAAAACCACATGAGAGGGGGACGCTCTTGCCTTGCCTCCTCTATGTTCCCCTCAGCTGAGAAGGCGGAAGTGGTATAAGCCGGAAGTTCAGCAAAGCAGCATGTTTGCAGTGGAGCTGGAAGCCGGGGACCTTCGCCTGCTGGAATCTCTCTCTCTCTTGCGGGGGAGAGGGGATTATTATTATTATTATTATTATCATTATTTTGAGTGAGGGGCGATCCTAACGCCCCGCCAGCGTGTAAGTGTCTGCAATGATCGCTGTTTAACGTTTGCAATTGCGAAGGGGCAGTCTTATAATTTGCAGAGCCAGCCTTGACCTTCGTGATTGCAGAATTTTGCAGAATTTTGTATTTATTTATTGTTGTCGTGTTTCTGTAGTGTGCCTTGGAGGTGGAGACCCTCTCGAGAGCTGCGTGCAACGGAGTTTCAGTCTGATGTACGACGATTAGGGGGCATTCAAAGGGGGGCAGTTAAGTGAATCCTCGCAGTTGTTAAGTTGGGAACAGGGTCGTTCAGTGAACCTGGCTTCCCCATTGACTAAGGTCACAAAAGGGGATCATGAGATCCCGGGACAATGTGACCGTCGTAAATATGAGTCTTGTTGCCAAGCACCTGGATTTTGACCATGTGATCAAGTAGAGCCGCTGGTGTTTTAAGTGCTCTTTTCGATACATTTGAGCTCTTGATGCGTTGGTGTTTGTTTATCTTTTGCATATCAATTGGAAACTTGCCTGACAATGCTTGCAACCTTGGACCTCTTTTGTCTGTCTGTATTTACCTTAAGCGGCCTCTTCCAAAGAATTTCTAGTAGAAGCACCTTTCTGCCTCTGCAGACGTGGAAGCATTCAGAGTTCCCAACTGCATTCAGGCTAGGAAGGATGACGCATTTTTCCAGTGGAAACCTGGTTTACCCAAATATGGGACGGAACAAACTGCTTTCGCCTTTCAGCCTTAATCCAGGAGCTTTCGCAGGCAGTCGCTCCCGCCACAAAGTATTTTTGTGTTGAATTTAAATTTAACACTAGGAAGGATGGTTTCCTTCACCTGCTGTGTTCCCACCTTGATAAACTACTAGCTCGACACCTGTGCTTTGCTATGAAACTATGAGGTCAGGCTTAGTTTTTGAGGAGGAAAATAAGGGGGGGAAATTCCCATAATGAAAGCTCTCACTTAGCAGCAGAAGTTTGAGGCTCGGTTGTGGTCATAAGCTTAATGCTACCTGGGGTGGGTTTTTTTTTGGTTTTTTGTTTAATATGTGAGTTTTAACCCACCTCTTTCCTTGCTTTTTAAAGACAATGATGAACGAGGCTGATATTTTGCTGGTAGAGGACACGCAACAGCCTAGCTATGAAAAGAAGACAAAAAAGTCACGGAAGCGCAGCCGAGAAGAAGTCGAACAGCCAGTTGTGTCCTCTGATCAGACACCTTCCCAGGATACAGAAGATGCTGGGACTAGTAGAAAAAAACATAAGAAGAAAAAATCCAGTTTGGAAACTTCTGATGCTTCCTGGGTCATCCCCGAGACTCCGCTGAGCGATGAGTCCGAAATAAATAAGTTTGTGCCCAAGAAGAAGAAAACAAAGATGAAACACAGACTTAAACAGGGTAGTGATGAGGAGGGTTGGAGCCCATCAATTCCCAACCAATCCAGTCAACCATCCCTCAAAAAGGCCTTGGCAAATAGGGGTGTTGATGATGATGAGTTTTGGAGCTCATCAACTCCCAACAAATCCAGTAAACTATCTCAGAAGGAGGACTTGGGGAATGTCAGCGTGGTTGATGGTAACAGGTCATCTCATAAGAAGAAGAAGAAAAAGAAGAAGAAGAAAAGGAAGCGAAGGGAGGGTAGCTATGACCCTGGTGAACTTGAGAAGGAGAAGGCTGAGGCCACAAGTTCACAGAGAGACGATCAGGTGGACCTTGACCAAACGATAGACACGCAGATGGATCTCTTTGGCTCCTCGCCTTTCTCCTTCTCCGAGGGACCACAAGTGGACCTTCACCCGGGGGATGGCCAAGAGAGAAGCTGTTCTCCCACTGCTGAGGATTCTGAGGCTACTCAGGTGGACCTGGAGGTGGAAGGAACATCAGCTGAAGACCATGAACAGACACAACCCCAACCCAAATTGCCCACTTCGGGGGTTAACACCAAGTAGGTTCTTCTAGTGCCTCTTACTCGTCCTCATCTAGATTAGAAGTGTGGGTAGAACTCTGGGATGTGAAAGAATGTCTTTGGGGAGGGGTGGACCTTAGCTCCTTAGGCCCGTCACGTTCGAGAGGGTGGGGTGGAGTTTTTGCTCTGTCACTTATCTCTAGTCCTTGAACTAAGCTTGTAGTGAATTGCAGATCGGTGGGGATCGGGTTGAAACTGAGGACTTCCTAGCCTGCTGGGGGTTGATTTGATCCGTTGATTACTTCCAAACTCTGGATAACTCCGGCCCTGAAAGACTCATCTCTGAACTCAGCAGAAGGTTAGGCCGAAGTCGTGGGATGAAATGGGTTGGATTTTCCAAGGGAGAAGGTCCCTAAGGAAGGCTTCGTTTGCCCTTTTTTGAGTCTGGGAGCAGACGCCTGCGGGTTTGCGCTCAAAGCGGAATGGAGGAGAAGCGATAAAGGAGGAGGCAGGTTGGGAGGCTAATTCTTAACAGTTTGTCAGGCCATGCCCCAACTCGGTCCTTTAGGCCAGGAAGATCCTCCACTCCAAGGTGTATTATACTAAAAGTCAACTGGGGCACAGGATAGCAAAGCCAGAACTGAAAGTTTCACGGTTAACTTTCCCTCGTCCAGTTCCTCCGCCGGTTCTTGATTGTCCAATTAAATTTGAGTAAATTGTCTTGGGAACGGCCTCTTCGATGGCAGGCTGGGAAGACCCTGGGAAGGTACAATGAGTTGTTAGCCAGGCCCCCTCTCCCATCCAGCTCGATCCCAGCTACCTCTCTCCACCTCCTGCCCATAGTTAATGGCAGATTGGCAAACGATGGCAGTTCTCCGCTGTCAAGTTTAGAGACCAAGGTCAGGCAGAGTTCAGCTGTGCTACTAATGTCCCAGAATGGGGCAACTGGGCTACCTTTAAATAAATAGCCACGCCCAATTTTGATCTCTCAACAGATTGGATCAATCCCAAACGGGTAGGAAACTCCGATCTTCACGCAAGCGGTCCCCTCCCGAAACATATTCTGAGGAGGAGGAAGAAGAGGATGTGTATGCTCTGGATAGGGAACAGCTGGAGAATGCCCGAAAAGAACTGGAGGAATTCATCCCTCGGGCAAAGACAATGGCAGATTCTGCGATCAGGCAGCTGGCCAAACGAGATCTAGCCAGGTTTCGGGAGCTTAAGAAAAAAGGTGAAACATTACCGTTGTGAGTGCAACAGTAAAAGTAACTAGGTTGGGGAAGGGAGGAGGCAGATGGAAGAAGAGGAGAGGAGAAATAGGAATTTCAGTCTGTAAAATGTGATGCTTGGGAAATTCTGATTTAACGGATTCTGATTTAGCGGACTTTGCATGTGAAGGACCTGATCTTTCTCTCTGGACAATTTAAATAAACTTAATGCTTGTTAACATTAGCAATTCAGGTCATAACACTGAAATGAATCTCTCTTTTTCCCCCGCCTCTGTCTTTAAAAGTTTAAACATTAGAGTGCAAATAGTTTCTCTAAGCAAAATTGCATGCATCCCACTGTACCAAAATAATAGAATGTATTACTTAGGTCTTATAATACAGTTAGTCCTCCACTTAATGACCACGATTGGAAGCAAAATTTATGCTGCTGAGCGAGATGCTTGTTAAGTGGGTTTTGCCCCATTTTAAGAACGTCCGTGCCATTGTTGTTAAGTGAATCAGTGCAGTTGTTAAAGGATAATGTTATTGAGTGAATCTCGTTTCCCCACTGGCGCTGCTCGTCAGCAGGTTGCAAAAGGGGATCATGTGACACACACACACACCCCGGGACACCGCAACCGTCATATATATGAGTCAGTTGCCAAGCATCTGAATTTTGGTGACCACGAAGATGCTGCAAGAGTCATTAAGTGTGAAAAAAGGTCCTCCGTCCCCCCTTTTTCCCCAGTGTCCTTGTAACTTTGAACGGCCACTCAATGAACTGTTGCAAGTCGAGGACTACCTGTATAAGAGAACAGTTGTTGTTTTAGAAAAGAGGGCTGGCCCGTTATAAAATTCACCTCAAAGCTTTTCAGTGTTGAAAATTCCAACGTTTTCCAACAAATGATCTCGTTCTCCCAATTTTTCATGTTGCTTGTCTTTGCAGGCTTGGCGGTGAGGTTCGGCGTGTTCTCCCAAGCGGAAAACAACTTATTAACCGAAAACATTGAGGCTTTTTTGGAAGAAAGCGGGATTGAGACGGCGGAGAAACTCCTCTTCTCCAACCGGTTTCCAGAGGAGGAAGCTGAAATCAAGAGGCTGAAATGCAAATATTTGTTTTGTGAAAGAATCGGTGAGTTTTTGCCGGCTTTATTCCTGGTTAGCCAGAAGGGAAATCTCATCCAAGATGTCAGTCACCCCATTTAAATCCTGAGTCTCCAGCCAAACTTCCAAAACTTCCAAAGGATTTATTGGGAGTTCAACTGTCCGGCACTGCCCGGGTGTAGCCGACTCTGTTGTGGA